AAGAAGAGTGGGAGGAGGCTGGAGAGCTGAAGTCTTCTCACCCGCCTTCTGCTCCATGCTCTGCATGCAGCGGAGCATGGCTACAAGAGTGTAGTCATTACTGTTGATGATACTGATGTCTTGGTCTTGACCTCAGCGTCAGCAGCAGTATTGCATGCCCAATATTCCAGAAATGTGGGACGAAGAGCCGCACAATGTACATAAACATCCGGAAGCTACACCAGGCACTGGGAGATGATGTCTGTAATGCGCTCGTCAGCATGCACGCGGGGAAGATGGCAACGTTGAAGAGGATTAAGTCAGACAAAACCTACCAGGAGGCCTTCAGTGAACTTGGTAGTTGATGGGAGGTATCAACGGAATTGTTGCAGGGGCTGCAGAAGATCACCTGCCAAATGTACTTGCCTTCTGCCCAGATGACCAATGTGAACAGACTCAGACACCAACTCTTCTGTGCCAGACGAGGGGAGGTGGAGTCAAGCCAACTCCCACCTTGCCACCTTGTGAAGACTGCCTGTTCATGCATGCTCTCCGTTCCAACTACCAGGCTGCCATCTGGAGGAGATGTCTGCAGACCCAGCCCATTGTCCCAAGGCCGAAGGAGTGTGGTTGGACAAACAGAAGAGGATGCTAAGCTGACAATTCAGTGGATGCGTGGCTCACCTGCACCAGATGCCATTCTCCAGTTGCTCTCCTGCAAATGTGTCCGCTCATGCAAACTGCCAGATTGTTTTTACCTCACCAATGGCTTGAGGTGCACAGACATGTGTAAGCTACAAACCTGCACCAACCAAGCCAAGGATGACCCACAGTTGGAGCTTTCAGATTTGTCAGACTCTGATGATGAGCTTGACGGTGATTAGGCCCAGTTACTCAACTATGGACACATATAATTCAACTTTCAAGTCAATTTTCAAAGCTACTAGTGTTCTGATTGTGTGCCCAAGAGATTAACCATGGTCTCTGTGATGTTTTCATTCCGTATGTACACGTTTTATTGTCAGAGTAAATTACATTAACAAAATACGAGTTTATGGCTGTTTTTCCTAGGGTATGCTGATATAATGGGTTAAAACTACTATTAAGCTACCAATCTGCGATGGTTATCATATCAAAACATAAACTAGACATATATAGCATGTGAAAAATTGCAACTAGAATTTGCCACTCTGAGTGGTACCGATAAGTGAAATTTTCGGTCTTGGCTCATGGACTAATAGATCTCGTCGTCGGAACTGCTGGTGCCTGAACCGACTGCCACTATTATAGGTTGGTCTGTTGCTGGCCGTAGTCAATCTCGTGACCAATAACGTGGCTCTATCTCGTCAACGACTGTGGCCACACAACGCCTCCATGTTTCTACTGTTACCCGACCAAGGAATTCCTTTACGAGTTGTTCAACGTCTCGTAATTTGAACGTTGTGTTCGATCGTCCAACGTCTACCTTGACGATGCCCCCTACCAACTCGATTGGATTCAGGTCGCAGTGATAAGGTGGCAGTCGTAAGACAGCGTGACCCTGACCCTTGATGTAACTGTCAACTTTATACACGGGGTCAGGTTTCATAGTTTTGATGATTTCATAGAGCTGTGGTTTCGTCGCTCCATGTCTTCTTTACGGTTATTAGAGGTTGGAGTCTTGCTTTCTGGATCCTGCACACTATGATACGGTGCATTGTCCATGACAATGAGAGACTTTGGTAGGCAAAGCAGGGACTAATTTATCTTTCACCCACTCCAGAAATACATTGCCCTTCATTTCTGTGTGGTAGTCCCTGTTGTCTTTGGCCTTGGCTCTAAAGACGAGGTCACAGTCTGGGAGAAAACCCTGACCAGCAGAACGAGCATGGAGAACTATGAGTCTTTCACCCTTTCCCATTGGTAACTTTCTACCAGACTCCTTACAGTCACCACTGGGTACCCACTGACTGCTTGGCTGTGTGTGACGCATTTACCCATGTCTCATCTAAGAAGATGGGCTCATATCCTTCTTCACGTTTCTGCTTGATGGTACGAAGGTAATGATTTCAGAGACGAACAATGTCAGACCGTTCACACAACACAGCCCTATTTTCTCCAGTTATCTTTTTGTATTTGTAACCAAATGTATGCAACAGCTGCCATAGTTTGTACTTTGTAACACATAAATCATGGTCAGTTTCAAGGTGTTTCTTCAAAATTCTTAGGGACAGGTACTTATTTTCTGAGTGCAGTTTAACAATTGCACGTCTGACTTGATCCCTCTGAAAACTGTCTAATTTATCAACCTTGCGTGGTTTTGACATGTTCCCTACCTCCTTGGCTTGACTATTTGTATCTCGTTGACTAACAACATTTTTAAGTTTGTGAGGGGACATACCAAGAGCTTTTGAAGCTTGTTTCAAGAATTTATTAATTGCATAAAAAGGCTTTGCTCTTTCTGCTTCACTTCTAAAGAAATCATACACATTCAACATCAACTGTTTAACATCTGCTGAGTAGCGCATCTTATCATTGAATGAACACGGTCACTGTGTAGCACGTGCAGACCGTGCTGGCGCTGTTCCTTCCACGGTGTGTCCCCCTACGTGTCATGTACACATTTCTATACAAAATAACATGATAGTTTCTTAAAGAACTTCATCCGTCATGGGTCTTAAAATAAACAAAATTCAGATTTTGTTGGGTACAGGGTATTCATGGTCAAGTACCGTATTGATGTTTCATACACTTTTCTGAATTTCGAGTTATTTTGCAATTCATCGTTCTCATTTGGAGCCAAACGGACTGTAAAGTTGACGCTCCAAAACTCTTGTGACCTCTTGGAAGTTCATGGTTGTGATTGAAAGTCAGGGTCAGTAAACCAAAAGGGCTTATAACTTTTTTATTTTGGTAGCTAGAAGCATAGGACATAGGACAACGTCAAAGTTATACTACACTGGGCATGTGTGATGTCATATGTCACCTGTAACCTGTCACCTGTCACCTGATAATATGACAATTGATCTTGAAGTATGTTTCTGAAGGGAAAGTTTTCGGGCATTCACAATGTTCAGCTGTTTCTGATACGGCATGGTTCTGTATCCTGTATTATGATGAGAAAAAAGGCAGTCTAGGAGTCCCAGGATGAGCCAGACAGAATTACGGATGCTTCCAAGCTCATGAAAAGGCTCACTGAGTCAAAGCGATTTTGCTGCACAAGCATTGTCCACAGCGGTTTCTATTGATGCCTTTTTGAAGACAGCATTTTGACTTCATCTCACAACATTCACTCTTTTTTTGTCAGGAATTGTGCTTGAGAGAGCAATAGCACTCGTCTGCCCCTTGTAATGGGCCTACCTTTAGAATACAGTACCACAAACTTTTCAAACATGTGACAATACCCTATGACGTAATTTGTAGTATTTTGTTGCAAGTCACACCGGTGAAACAATGCCCTGTGACGTCAGGGGTCATCGAGTGTGCATAAGCTCCTCCCAGTGATCTATCATCTCTACTCGATATGTCATTGAATACGCCAAGCGCTGTGGAGAATATTTGTTTACTAAATATAGCCCGCGGCGGTGCATTTTATAGGAAGCGCTTGTTTACGAAAGCACTTTTATTTTTTATATATTTTTTATTTCGTTTTTCTCGTAATTCAAAAGGGTTATAAATGGGAACTTATATACATATATTATGTTTTCGGTGCATTAATTTTCATTATTATGCACAAGAATGTAGTTTATTAGGGATATTATATTGGCACTGAACACATCCAAATATCCCTAGTGTTAGGGTAGGTTACCCCGAACTCTATCCTTAGCCCTTGGATCCCCTTTACGATAAAGCACCCCTTTTCGATCATTAGGGTTAGGTACTCGTTTAGTGGTTATTAGATCACCAGTATTATGTCCTTAGCCCTTGGATCCCCTTTACGATCAATCATCCCTTCACGATCATTAGGGTTGGTTAAATCTACCCATTTAGTTTCTATTATAGATTCTATAGCAGCTCCTAATATTCTTCACACAAAAACATCGAGTTAAAAGAATGAAATGGTTTTGTGTCGAATACTTTGGCTACTGGAAACTGTCCTGGAACATTCACACAAGCCACTTTCACCGGCTACACTTTTTCAGTACTGATTCAAAAGCGAACTCACCGTTGTGTCGTCACTAGCCATGCACATGCCTCCCTCGTTCCTTACTATTATCCACATCATCCTTACAGTGTTCCCTACCACACTTTTCTGTCACAAAATCCACCCGACGAATTATTAAATAACACATCATTCATTCGCACTCGCGAGTTCGACGTCTGACGTCTGACGCCAGGAGCCGTTTTCAGTTCGCGCCATATCGGATCATTCCTCGCCACTCGGTATCTTGTAGATTACGGAATGGGACGAGTGTGCCAAATGGCATCGGGATCATTCGTAAGTGTCGATAGACTAAAGTCACGAGACACCATGCCTACCCTTACCTTCGTAAGGGTTCGTCACTTATTCGACCCATTTCGTTCAGTTCGTAGGCATGACTAGGTAAATTTGCACTTTGTTTCACGGTGTGGACGTAGCTCAGTCGGTTAGCTGTCGAATAACAATCCAAAGGTCGCGAGTTCGCGTCGGACGGATTCTCACAAAAACTGGTTGCTTGTCTTTGAGACATGTGACCTATGGCAGAGACCGTCCTCACGAGAAGATGTGGTACTGTATTCTAAAGGTGCTCCGTTGCTTGTAACAGTTCTGATAATACGCACTTTAAGGATATCTTCAGAAGGTAGTCATTTTCATAAGAGGTCACCCAGGCGCACACAGATGAATGCTGTCCCATGGTTACCAGCCCTTAGGCATTTAAGATACTCAGATGGCTGCTCTAAGGTCACCAGTACTGCTCTTGCGTTGCCGTTTCCCACTGAAAAGTATGAATGTTAAAGATTTTTACTAACATAAGGTGAGCTGAGATACCTCACTGTTATTATCATAAGTGTATTATAAAGGGATTGCACGTTCAATATACATGTATTTGATGTGGCAACAGGTATGTCTGGAAGGAGAGATCTCCAAGAGCACCATCATGCATAGTTTATCCCGAGGGAAGAGAGCAGCTGGAGACCTCATTCCTTGGACCGTGTCACAACAGGTGAGGTAGATCAGTGATAAAATGCTGAGTAAGGAGCATGACAATATATCTTTACCCATCAATGTGACCTATCGCTAGCTCTACATAGATCTCCATTGATCTCCATTGGGCTTTGATGACTGCACATGGTGACGTAAAACCAGTGTTGTATATACGCAAATGGAATAAATTTTTCATATTTTAGAACATTTTCTCAATGAACGTTAATAGTTTCCTGACGTATGTTTATCTAACTGTGTACTCTTCAAAATTGTAACGGATGCAAAATGTACGTAATTTGTTGAATGGACTGTGTAAGATGTGTTGATATTTTCCCTGCTGATACGAATGAAACATGTTTAAGAATGTATTCAACGTTATGTTGTAAATTTACCAGATTTATCCAAAACCAAAATAATGTCACAAGTTTAGGCCTGTATTACATCATATTCTGTTTCTGCAAATAGCTGTTATATTGATGATGTGGCATAAAGCAATATTTTTTATTCATTCATCATATTCTGACGGAAAAATGGGCTAGATGAATTGGTCTCAATGAGTCTGACTAGAGCTGATATTAAAGGACTTCTTCTAATATGGTTTCTACTATCATTTTTTTCTCCTAAGTTCCAAGACCATGACTTTCCTGGCCTGTCCGGTGCTAGAATTGTGAGAATTGCTACACACCCAGACTACCAAGGGGTAGGTATATGTCCCTGATACAAAATGTGGTTGTTCTCTATTTGGTCACTGATTCAAGGTATATGGAACATATGCATGGACTAACCTCTTGACATGCAACTCACCTTCTCAGCTACACTAGTATAAATAAGCAAATCCCACACTCTCAGAGTAAGGCACCTAATCACAACCTTTATTCGTCATATGTAACGATTATTCTTTTAATTTTGACGTAACTTTTTTCATAGATTTAGACTAGTTTCTGATCGAGACCCTCACCCCATCTGCTCAAGCTGCGTTCCACAACACTGCATTGTGTAGAAGAGATGTAATTACTGCTCCTTTGGGAGAAGAAGAAACAAGATCTCTATGTGGTGCAGAGGAGGAAGATGGACCACAAGAGGAGGGAATCATCATGATCTTCATCATCCTCATCAGAGACGACATCAGTGAAGAAGAGGGTTGACTCAACACCTATGCCTTCATCAGATGAGTCTCACTTCAGAGAAAAAGTTGTTTCACATCTTCCTTCTTTGATGATCAACCTAGTCATCCCTACCTCTACTGTAGGTAGCAGAAGTTTTAACTCCCTTTTGAAGGGCACTACAAAGTCAAAGAAGTCTCCTGCGGTGTCTTCTGACCCCAAGAAGACATTGCTGACCCTTAAGAGTTCATCCTCTTCTTCATCAAAGCCATCTCTAACTAAGATTGAACACATCTCTGCAAAGATGATCACAACCACAAAGCCAATTGCTGCATTATCCAAAAAGGGGTTCACGAAGAAAGATAGCTTTGCACACCCTTCCACCTACACACAGTCCCAGACAGTAGGTCCATCACTATCAATGCCAACATAACCACACATGTTGGACAGCTCCTTCATCCAGTCACAGAACTTTATTCAGCAACCTACCTGCATGCAACCTCAAAGGTTCACACAGCCCACAGCGTCTACTAACTCAACTCTACGTCTACTAACCTAGTAGCCAGTATTACCCAGCAAGGTTCACTACCCATGCAGGAGCACCTGATCATTGACCTTCATGCTCTTTCCCATCTTCACACAGCAACAGACCTTCACATGGGACCAGTCCTTCATGCAAACCCAGACCTACACGCAGCCAGAGACCTTCACATAGGACAGGACCTTCATGCAAACCCAGACCTACACGCAGCCACAGACCTTCACATAGGACAGGACCTTCATGCAAACCCAGACCTACACGCAGCCACAGACCTTCACATAGGACCAGACCTTCATGCAAACCCAGACCTACACGCAGCCACAGACCTTCACATAGGACCAGACCTTCATGCAAACCCAGACCTACATGCAGCCATAGACCTTCACATAGGACAGGACCTTCATGCAAACCCAGACCTACACGCAGCCATAGACCTTCACATAGGACCAGACCTTCATGCAAACCCAGACCTACATGCAGCCATAGACCTTCACATAGGACAGGACCTTCATGCAAACCCAGACCTACACGCAGCCATAGACCTTCACATAGGACAGGACCTTCATGCAAACCCAGACCTACACGCAGCCATAGACCTTCACATAGGACTGTTCTTCATGCAAACCTAGACCTAAATGCAGGTCCGACCTTCATGCAGCTACCTATTTGCATGCAGTCTCCAGCGATCATGCAACTTCAAGGGTTCATGCGCATCCAACATTCATGCAGCTTGCATTCTGACAACATTTCTTCTCAGCATATCAGACTGTCAGACCCTGGCTAAAATCTTCAAGCAGTAACGGAGAATTTTGCATCCCCTTGAAGCTGTCTCCCTTCACAAAGACTCACATTTCAACAAAGAAAAGTTATCATCAAGGAAGGAGTACACGAAGCATCAGCAAATTACTTTTGCACAAAGTTGGGCCTTTGCACAGACACAGTCCTTCACACAGAGGTGGGCCTTTGCACAGACACAGTCCTTTACACAGAGGTGGGCCCTTGCACAGACAGTCCTTCACACAGAGGTTGGGCCTATGCACAGACACAGTACTTCACACAGAGGTGGGCCCTTGCACAGACAGTCCTTCACACAGAGGTTGGGCCTATGCACAGACACAGTACTTCACACAGAGGTGGGCCTTTGCACAGACACAGTCCTTTACACAGAGGTGGGCCCTTGCACAGACAGTCCTTCACACAGAGGTTGGGCCTATGCACAGACACAGTACTTCACACAGAGGTGGGCCTTTGCACAGACACAGTCCTTTACACAGAGGTGGGCCCTTGCACAGACAGTCCTTCACACAGAGGTTGGGCCTATGCACAGACACAGTACTTCACACAGAGGTGGGCCCTTGCACAGACACAGTCCTTCACACAGAGGTGGGCCCTTGCACAGACACAGTCCTTCACACAGAGGTGGGCCTTTGCACAGACAGTCCTTCACACAGAGGTGGGCCCTTGCACAGACACAGTCCTTCACACGGAGGTGGGCCTTTGCACAGACACAGTCCTTCACACGGAGGTTGGGCCTTTGCACAGACAGTCCTTCACACAGAGGTGGGCCCTTGCACAGACAGTCCTTCACACAGAGGTTGGGCCTATGCACAGACACAGTACTTCACACAGAGGTGGGCCCTTGCACAGACACAGTCCTTCACACAGAGGTGGGCCTTTGCACAGACACAATCCTTCACACAGAGGTGGGCCTATGCACAGACACAGTCCTTCACACAGATGTGGGCCTTTGCACAGACACAGTCCTTCACACAGAGGTGGGCCCTTGCACAGACACAGTCCTTCAAACAGACTCAGACCTTCAAGCAGCCTCCAACTTTGCCGCAGCAGTCTACCTTCACACAAACTTTTAACGTTTGTGAAACCATTTTTCCAGTACACGAAGCATCAGCAAATTACTTTCGCACAAAGTTGGGCCTTTGCACAGACACAGTCCTTCACACAGAGGTGGGCCTTTGCAAAGACACAGTCCTTTACACAGAGGTGGGCCCTTGCACAGACAGTCCTTCACACAGAGGTTGGGCCTATGCACAGACACAGTACTTCACACAGAGGTGGGCCCTTGCACAGACACAGTCCTTTACACAGAGGTGGGCCCTTGCACAGACAGTCCTTCACACAGAGGTTGGGCCTATGCACAGACACAGTACTTCACACAGAGGTGGGCCCTTGCACAGACACAGTCCTTCACACAGAGGTGGGCCCTTGCACAGACACAGTCCTTTACACAGAGGTTTGGCCTATGCACAGACACAGTGCTTCACACGGAGGTGGGCCTATGCACAGACAGTCCTTCACACAGAGGTTGGGCCTATGCACAGACACAGTACTTCACACAGAGGTGGGCCTTTGCACAGACACAGTCCTTTACACAGAGGTGGGCCCTTGCACAGACAGTCCTTCACACAGAGGTGGGCCCTTGCACAGACAGTCCTTCACACAGAGTTTGGCCCTTGCACAGACACAGTCCTTCAAACAGACTCAGACCTTCAAGCAGCCTCCAACTTTGCCGCAGCAGTCTACCTTCACACAAACTTTTAACGTTTGTGAAACCATTTTTCCAAGAGTGCTGTACCTGCGTCGTCACAAACACTGACTGGGTTGCTAAAGATATGCAACATGATATTCAAGCCTCGGAACAGATCATGTCTAGCAGAAAACAACAAGAAGTTCCTTCATGTGTACTTTGCCCTCACTATGGAATCATTCAGCCAACATTGAATACACTAAATAGAAATTGATGGGAACGTTCACCAAACCCACACAAGAGGCAACATTTATTAATGGGTCCTCAAGTTCGATACCCTCGTTTAAACAGGGAAGCTCATCTCAACATCAACGATCGATTAGACATTTGACTGAGTCGTCATGTACTACTGGGTACAAAGGTTCCATGATCACCGATCACAACCTACAGATCCAAACCCTGCTATCATGGCTTCAGTGTATCTGTACCAAGGGAAGCGGTCATTTGTTGACGATCAAGCCAGGATAGATATCAACTGGGCCGTTCATCAATTTTTCATCAGTATGATTGGCAAAGCTTAATCAAATTTTGACTATTTCCTATCATCTACATGTATCAAATATCATGAAGATCACCTTGCTACTGCACCGGACATGTCGAACATTCTACAGAGAACTGACTGCGTATTCACCGTTATGCATCAGAACTCAGGACACCACTCGTCTATCTATCATACAGTTCACACTAAGTATGCAGCATTCCAGTTTCTTGCGGGGATAATTTACATGTCACGTGTCAAAATTTCACTGACTGTAAACAATGTGACTATGCTGGAATTAGGTCCAGCAGACCAAATCCGAGCCATGCAGAGCACCTTTACAGATTAATGTGCATTGTTACTTGGACGTAATGCTCCAACCGTACTATCAGACGCCTAGTGATATACATCAATATGAGCAGGTCACTAACTTAGTAGACCTAAGATGACACATGTAGTATTTCACACCGATGCACCACCCTTCATCGTTACCTTCATATAAGAAATTGAAATGGAATCCATTGTCTTTCCCCAAGAACTACAAGTCGGCAAAGCGACCATAAACCCGGAAGTACAAGTCATCCCTCACTGATCAGGAATTGATGAAAATAGACACATTGATTCGACATACCTTCCCAATCATCTCTATGCCCCTTCAAGACACAGTTTTCTGGTAACACGGCCGCACTTCAGCATGATATCGATCATCATACGATCATTCAGACACAAGAATTAAAAATTCAGCCTTGATCTACCAGATGCAGCTTCAGCTTTACTTTCAACGACCGTTACGTCAATGTTTTGACAATCGACTGGGGAGCACACTTATGATATCTATTTTGGACTTGACATTGGTCTGCAGATGAAGGCAATCAACAACTTGGGGAATATATTTGCAAACTGGGGATTTAACAGACAGCATGCGCTCTCCCCACAGCTCTGATGCATCTGATAGTACAGTAGATCATGAGCACAAAGTACCTACGACTGCTCTTCGTCACACCTTATTGGCCGGCAAAAACCTGGTTCCATA